TTGTTATTTAATATTCAAGTATACTTTGAGAAGTTACTTTGATTGATAAAAATAATGAGATCATTGATGATTGATGATTGATGTTATAGATATATTTTTAATATTACATGGTTAAGTTATCATTTAAGAGTGTTAATTACTTTCTAAAATAGAAATTGGAAGCTTTATTAGTTGGGATATTTAACTGATCTTTGACTGGTCCCACAATAAGGTTCGTGTTTCGCTTTACGATGTTTGACTGGTCATAAAGTTGACTGATCTCTGTCAATGATACAATTATTTTTAATAAATAAAACTTACATATTCAGAAAGAGAAATTATATTGAAAATTTTGTAAAATCGGGAAAAAACACAAATTTGAAAAAAATTGAACATATAAAACAAAAGATTAAGAACAATTTAAGTTGATCAAAAGAACAACGATCGATATTTTGGAATAAAAACCCGTTACAGGGCTACGAACCTTCAAGAAGGTTTATAGATCAGAAGGGTGATTATAATTTTCTTCCATACCCGACTTTTCTTTTTATAATTTTATACGGAGTATTATTTAATGACCATTATGATGTCTATTAAGATGATTATTCTATGCATTAATATTTACTATTCTTTTTCATTATGTTTCATGATTTTTATTTTTTTATGGTTTAAACTTTATGAATATGTCTCCTCAAGTGTAAAACTATTTAATATTAATAGAGGGAAGTTCAAAAAAGAGTGTTTAACATGAAATGTGCCAATTTCTAATTTAAAAAATGCCGCCGTACTTTAAAGCTAGTCTTCTACATTATCTCACTTTTAGAGACATCAGATCATAAATTTAGAGCACGAAAGTTATTCTAATTTTACTCATTTAGAGGTACTTTTTTATTTTATCCAAAATCTTTCGCTTCATCCATATCATGATACTATTAGGACAACACGTCGACTAGAAGGATAAATACAAGTAGAAACCAAGGAGTTATTTTTTTTATGGAAAATAAAGAATGTACGGAGTATACAGTGGAGGAGCTAGGGGGGCAAGGGGGGCAAGCGCCCCCGCTCCGACTAATTTTTTTTACTAGTATTACTTATAATGTTTCTTGCTCCGGCTTCTTTTTTAATTTTAAAAACAATAAGTACAACTTAAGGTTATTTTAAGATGAAGTGTTAAAATAAATAAAAAAGTATTTTCAGAAAAAGTAAAAAAAATGAAATATAGACAGGTAACACGCTCCCTTCGTACCACCCGTGTTCGAATCCCCCCAGGACGGATTAAGTTAAACTTGTTTTGCTTTTCTTCCGCCCCAATTCTTCCAATTTTATTTTCTTCAGCCTACAACTCGTCCCACACCGGATGAAATAGAGGATTCACTCCTCATTTGTTCTCAGATTCTGCAATTTTCAAGTAAGTTTCTCATCTGCCAATTTATGCCCATATTAATTATTTGCTCTCATCCCTAACGAAAAGTCAGAAATTATTTGTGTGAATCCTCAAATCTCAGTTCTAGATGCAATTTAATGCTATTTGTATAAGGAACATTTTTAATTCATACTTATTTTTGTTATATTTAGGAGTATGAATTTGGATAAATTTGTAATTAAGACTAAGAGGTCTTTGATTGGAGAATCGCTTTAGTGAGTCAAATACAGATTTACTCGCTTGTTTAGCTTGCCTTGATCCTAAAGATAATTTTTCCAATTTCTGTGAGTCAAAGCTACTCAGTCTTGCGGAGTTATATTCATCTGATTTTTCAGTTGTTCAGCAAATGGAGCTTAAAGAACAACTCCAAGTTTGGATATATGAGATGAGAGGAAATGAAGCATTTTCCACTTTACAAAGTATTGGTGAAGTGTCTAAGAAGATGGTTGAGCTTACAATTCACAAATCTTTTCACTTAGTCTATCGTCTTATTGAGTTGGCTCTAGTGTTACCAGTTGCAACAGCCACAGTTGAAAGAGCTTTCTCATCGATGAATATTATCAAGACAGATCTTCGCAATAAGATGGGAGATGACTATCTTACGGATTGCTTAGTATGCTACATCGAAAGAGACATTTTTCAAGCAATTGATAATGAAGCTATTATGCAGCATTTTCAAAATATGAAAATTCGTAGGATTGATTTGCCTAGGTTGCAGAAGTAAATCAAGTAGTATGTAATGAACTATAATTTTTTGTTAAATTATTACGCTATTGTTGTTCTTATTATATTTTGGACACGAACTTTAAAATTTTTAGTCTTTGGTTTGCCCCTCCTTGGACAAACCTCTGGCTCCGCCACTGGGAGTATATATTAGTCGCACTAATTTCGATAATCAAAATACAACAGAGTATTATTTTTGCTTAAAAAATATTTTTAATAATTAGCCAATTAAATATTTGCACCAAGTGTTTTAAGAAAAAGGATTCCTCTCACATCTTCTTTTTTATAAATACTTCTAAAATATGGCCGGAAAACTCTACCGATGGTTATGGGACTAGGCCCAAAACCAAATCGGCCCAGGCCCCGAACTTGGACCAACAGGCCCTAGCCCAGCAACTAGAGCTCGAGTCGGCCCAACCGATCAGGCTAATCAAGGAGCGGAAGCTCAAGAGAGCCTGTCGTCCAGTCCAGCGGGGAGCCTGCCTTCCAGCCCGGTCAGCGGCCTGCCTTCCAGCCTAGTCAGGAGCCTGCCTTCCAGCTCGGTCAGGAGCTTGCCTTCCAGCTCAGCCAGGAGCCTGCCTTCCAGCCCAGCCAGGAGCTTGCCTTCCAGCTCAGCCAGGAGCCTGCCTTCCAGCCCAGCCAGGAGCTTGCCTTCTAGCCCGGCCAGCGGCCTGCCTTCCAGCCCAGCCAGGAGCCTGCCTTCCAGCCCCGCCAACGGCCTGCCTTCCAGCCCAGCGGAAGCCTGCCGCACGAGCTGAGGAGCTCAAGCGTTCTGTCTGCCAGCCAACCAGAAAGAGTAACGGCCAACAATCAATGCACTATTAATTATGTATTTAATTCCGTATTAATGTTGTACTTAATTTAGTCATCATTATGTTCGGCACTTACCATTGGTAATCGCCTATAAAAGGCAATTCGAATTTCAAATACAGATATGCTATTTCTGGCAACTATACAGTTTTAGCTTCTTTCCTTATTCGCATTATTTTCCTGATTTCTTGCTTGAGTGTCGTATTTAGCTTTCCTAAAAGCCTACGAGCGTCCTATTTTGGACCAACATCTACATTTTTTAAACTTTTAAATTGAAATGTTTCATATTTCTAACTTTATACTCCCTCCGTCCCAAAAACAACTTCCTTCTTTCCTTAAATGGATGTCCCAAAATTAACTTCACATTTTTTCCCACTTCCTTATTTTGCAAATTATCTACATCAAAACAGTGCCAAACAGTGTCAAACAGTGCTAAACAGTGTCCAAATAGTGTCAAAACAGTGTCAAAACAGTAAAATTTACCCGCCAGTAAATTTATTTCCTTAATATGTGTGGAAAACGAAGTGTGAAGTTGTTTTTGGGACGGAGGGAGTATATGTTGTTCCGTTTTTTAAGTAGTTCTACATTTTTAAGTTTCCTATGTTTTTGTAATTGTTATATTTATATTTATTACCTTTGTTCTCAATTTACTTATATCTTACAAACACTAAATACATTTGGATTACAATAAAAATACTTCTTTTGGCTCTAAATAAATTTCTATTTTAATTCCAACCATATTCTCATCATATATAAAGATGCCACTTTATATTTTAAAGAATCAATTATTTATTTATAATTCCTTCAATTTTGATTATTTTCACTATTTTCTCTCACATTAATATTTATTTAATTAAATTTCATGTAACTCTCAAATTCATTGAAAATTGTGTACAATATTCACTTTCAAAAGTAAAAATGATTCATCGTCACATATAATAAGTCATAAGATATTTTAAAATTTGATTGGAATTTTCTGGTCTAAACTGATATGATAAATTAAATGTATGCTCTATTTATATTTTAGAATAGTTGAAGTATGGTGTGATCTGATCTATATATGTCAGATCTATTCTGGTGTATCCTAGTCTAGGACTGATCCAACCCGACTAAGAACATCTGTAGTTTTTTTAAATAAAAACATTTGTTGTTGTTTATCTTTAATTCTTCTACTTAGCTACTCGAGGAATCACGACTCACGAGTAATACTTAATTCTGAGATACATCATAGAAGGTCATTTAAAATATGTATTCTAAGAATTCCAGGATCTTCTTCATCGTGAATATAAACTTTTATTTATAATTAATCTAGCTCAATTAATATTAATGAATTTCGTACCCAAGTAGCAAAGAAGAAATAACAAAGAAGAAATATCAAGAAACAAATATGATTGGAATCGCCATGATGAATTATCTGGACTTTTAATAGCATGCTTTGTACGAAGAATACTTTGGAAAACTTTAAGTAGATTTAACAATTATATGAAGTTAATTAAATGTCATTAATGTTGGTAGGAGCTCCTACCAACAAATAGTGAGAATAGCAATTGAATGAGTTATTCTTAGGAAAATTACCCATTAAAAAGCATGTATATTCCGAAATAGGACCATCATGTTTTTATTCCCAAAATATGACTAATTACTTTCATGTTTTGGTAGTATCAGAATTTAACATAAGGGCATCCTCATTGGGAGGATTATTAATTACGAGATTAAATTGATGACATGGCAATTTTTTAGATAATTATTAATGAGTGACATAGATTGTTTAATAGGATTATTTGGTACAATAATCTGGGATCAAAATATGAATCCGGATTATTTTAAGATTATTTGAAAAGTATATGTAATATAGATATAAATGCATGACAACGAAAAAAAGATTATTTGAAGATGATGATTGAGAGACATAAACGAATTTTGAGATTATTTTATAATTAATTACTTCTTTCGTTCCCAAAAATACTTTCCACTTTCCCATTTTAGACAATTTGTGTGGTTCACATTCATTTTACCTTTTTCTTACACAACCACAACATTTAAATGGTAAGAATCACATTAAAAGGTGTACGTAATTAATAAATAAATTAATAGCAAAGGGTGTAGTTAATAAATTAAAATATATCCATGTATGTATGTACATTCCTACTCGGACCTCGGTATATTCATTATTAAAATTAACACAAGAAGCAATTAATTAATCATCAAATTAATATATTCAAACCACCTTCCCATACTTGATGAACTGCTGGTGATTTTCCAATGGCGTCAAATTCAAATCCAAGCACAAAATCCTTTGTCCAGTGGACGGCTTCTTGACAAGGGTAGCGTTGCCGGCCGGAAAAGAAAGAGGAAGAGAACCACCACTGCCGCCGCCACAACCGAGGGTTCCTTTGGCCGCAACAACAGCTGCTCTGTGCCTTCTCATGTGCCCTCCTAGAGCCTGTCCGATGGAAAACTCTAAACCACATATGGAGCACTCGTGGGCCTTATTGGGTTGTTCTGGGGCAGATGAAGACGGCGGCAGAAATAGGATCGTCCCATCGTCTCCTGCCGCCATCTCCTGCCTCAGACGCTTGTGGCTCGCCCGGTGGCCACCGAGCGCTTGGAAGGACGGAAACCGCCGGTTACACGTCTTGCACTCGAAAACGCGGCCGGGGAGGCATATACGATCAAATTCTTTAGTTTTTGATCTCTTCGTTAGTTTATGAGTAGCCATATACGGTTCCATCATGAATGTATAGCTAGGGGGTAGTTTACTAGTTTAGGCTTTGTTTGGGTTGAAAGAATTAAATAAAAATTGAATCGAGGGAATTTCAATGGATGAATATATATAATGAGGATGGTATGTAGTAGCTAGGGAGCTATATATGGTAGGGAAGCATGGGAATGAGATAGACTATGATTAGGTGGGAATCAAGTTTTTTGACTAAATTATTAATTTGCTTATTGAATAGTAGGCTGTATGTATGCTTCTGTGTCGTTTCTTTTAGCTAAAAAAGTTCAGTCCGCGCACGCTACATGGAATAAATATATTTGGTGAAAATAAATACTAGTATATGTTATGGTAGGTGCAAATACTTTACAAAATATGTAACAATTACGGAGTAGTACTATACGCAATACCATTGTCACCATATATTGTGTTATGTTACTATAAATAATTTATATTTGATATTAAATGAATTTAAGAGTTTTAGATGCATGTAAGTAATGTATAATTGTTGTATTAATTACTTGTTAACACAAATGTTAGTCGTTTGGTTAAAACATAAAGTGATACGGTGTATAACTAATAATGTAAAAATAAAAAAATGTAGGTAATATATTTTTGTATAGAAATGATATGAAAAAGAATAAACATTGTCGGATTCAGAATGGTTTATGCAAAATCAAAGTTTTTTTAAAATGAGGTGCAAAGTTCAATATCAATCAAAAAGTGTGGTGCAAAGTCAAATTCTCTCTATATATAATTGATGGGTAAATGTTACATTGTTGGTTGATACAAATGATATGTTATAATTAGATGTATTAAATGTTGTTGAATGTTCCAAAAAAAATGTTGTTGAAATTAAATACTACGTAGTATAAATCATGTGTGAAAAGCTAGCGTGTAAGTGCAATTTTTTTGGTATGAACATGTCATAGAAACCGATCGATATACATAGAAATTGTTTCGTTCATTTTGAATATATCTGATTAAGGTAGTGCACGCGGAAATCTGAGTTACAGACAACAAAGAAGAATGTTTTGATAGATTAAAAAAGATCATATAATGAAAAATATGAACACATTATTTTTCGTAATTTGAAGACGAAAAGAATTAAAAAACAAAAGATAAAAAAAAAGATCGGTAAAGAAGAGTAGAGAGAAGAAAGGAGAATTGTTGTTACTCCCTTTTATCCATTTTACTTGTCTTACTTTCCTGTTTAATTACTCCCGAAATTGTAATACCCGAGAATAATTTAAGAGGATTAATAGTACTACTCATACCAACAGAGGTGCATCTCCTTTTAAGGGAGCTCATCACCCAAGAACTCCAAAGTTAAGCGTGCTTGCACGGGAGTAGTCTTGGGATGGGTGACCCCCTGGGAAGTTTCTCAGGGCGCGCATGAGTGAGGACAAAGTGCGCGGTAAAGGCTCGTGGCGGTTTGTGGGGACAGTACTAGAGGTCTAGAGTAACTACCTCGGGTCCGTGTGGGGCCCCGGGGTGTTACAGAAATAGGAAGTAAGTATTTTCTTTCCTTTTTTTAAAGAAACATGTGGGCAGGGGCGGAACTACACTGGAGCTTGGAGGTGCTTGTGCCCTTGCGGCTCTGCAGATTTCTTTTTATTATATATATAGGGAAAAATTTTCGGGTTCAACACGTTTCTGTCCGAACACCGTCCGAACACCGCTGTTTGGGGCGGTTTCCGGTGAAATGTTTTGATGAAACTTTTTGAGTACGTTCCTCATCAAGTCTAGTTTATCCATATTATATTTCAGCTTAAAATTCGATCGGGAAGGTAGTAAAATAATTTTTTGAAGTTAACTGCGTATTTCTATGTATAATTTGGCGCAGTTAACTTCAACAAATTGTTTGACTGCCTTCCCAATCTAATTTTAAGCTTAAATTTGGTATGGATAAACTAGACTTGATGAGGAACTTGCTAAAATATTTCATGAAAAAATTACACCTGGAACCTCCCCAAATGGCGGTGTTCGGACAACGTTCGGACTTCGGACCGGGGGCTGCTGGACAGGGAATGACTCTCTCTATATATATATTATACATGGTGGTCGACAATCAACTTTTGAATGTAAGAATAGTTTAGAACCACAATCAAATTTGATATTGATCAATGTTAATGAGGCAGACTGAAAAGAAAATGTAAGAAAATCTTAACAAAACAAAGGGAGTAATATATTTATGAGCTCGACTACTAACGTTGAAGCTTGGAGGGTTGATTACATTGAGCGAGTTTCTTTGGAATTCGCCGGAACTAGGCCGAAATAAGTGAATAACGCTGGCGATCACTAGGTCTAGCGACTGATCGAGAGCATTATTGTTTTGAGGTGACTGGCGTAGCGGCTTTGCTATTGTGTATTTTGGGCTATAGTCATGTACTGAGTTTGTTATTTTTTGTTGTTGTGGATAGTCAGGCTCAAGTTTGACAAAGAATTCATATAAATCGATTTTGTACACAGATTTCTAAAGGTAGTAAAGAGCAGAGTCTTATGAGGTAATGTTCCCCTCCAAGATCACGAAGCTGATTCTGGCACATGATGTGGGTTACATCATTTCACTTATTATACTCAAATTTCAATCATAACTTTTATTTTTTTAATCACTTTATTAATTATCGTATCAAGTCAAAGTGATACACATGAAATGGAAGGGGCAGTATAATTTTCTCACGAAATGAAGTAGGTGTGAAAGAGTGTATATATATTGTAGAACGTACAAATTAGATGATAGGAAGAGTGACATGCAAGTGCGGCACGTTTCTTGTGGGATAAGTAATTTAGAGAGATAGATATGGAATCATTGGCGGCATGCAGCTGAGCTGAGGTGGATGGCATGCATGGCATGTACTCCGGCCATACTGGGCTCTATGTCATACTCCGTAGTTTTTGTTTCTCGAGTTGGCCTTGGGCAGTGGCGGATCTTGTACAGGTTCAAATTTATTTTATAAGTTTTGGGTGTTCAAATACATATATAAATTTTTACACTAGCACCCATATATATGTATTTTTACACTGCTAATTAAAAAAAAATGGATGTTCACATGAACACTTTTGAACATAGGAGGTCCGCCCCTGGCCTTGGGGTACACACTTTTTGTGTACACACTTTTTACACATGTCTGTGTAAGGTTTTTTTATGTCAAAACATGTCATGTCTGTACAGACATAAAACAAACCTTACACAGACATGTGTAAAAAGTGTGTACACAAAAAAGTGTGTATCTTTAGAATTTTTCTTGTTTCTAACGGAACAAATTTTGTTCTATTTTGCCTACATTATATTCGTTAATGTATTGAATTTTACATGCTCTATGTCATAGTTTTTGTTTCCTAGTACTTCCTTCTTAATGTATTATATTCTTAATGGAATATATTGAATTTTACATTATCACATGTTCTATTTTGACTAAATTTTATCCGTTAATGTATCAATAATTTTTTGAAAGTTCGAATTGTGTCATTGAAAATATGATTTTTTATTCATTAAAAGTTGGAACAGTTTTATTTTCAATTTACAATGCACATCTTTGACTTTAATTATATTTAATTACGCATTAATAGCCATTAAAAAAAGTTGATGCTTTAGAAATTTACATTATTAATAGAAATTAATAACATTTTATACACAATAATTATACAATATTAAAAAGTTGTAATCAAAGTAGAGAATGTGAAGAATACAAAAATCCCAATGTTGTAACTTTCAAAAAGCAGAAGTCTTAATGATTAAAGTTGTATACCGCCAAATGTGAAAAGTTAAACGTTGCATTTAATTAAAAACGAAGGATGTATCATATTTTGAAATCCTCCAACACCGATCCGGGAATGAGGTAGTCCTAGGGATGGACCCGGGCCGGTCCGGTTCCGGGCCGAGTTCGGGCGGGCTTTTTTTGTAGAATCATGGGCCCGGAACCGGCCCGGGGTGATACCGGGTCCGGTTCGGGTCGGGCCTACCCGGCCGGGTTGTGGGCCGATTCGGGACGGGCCCGGACTATTTAATTTTTTTTTATTCAGATTAGTTGGACATAAAAAAATTAAACTGTATTAATTTGAAATATGTAGTACAATTGGAAATTGAGCAAAATTTACAACATGAAATACACTTTTTAATAAATAAGAATCAATCAGAATTTCCGCCATCTTCAGTTGTTTCTTCCATAAAGTGGCGGGTGGGTTCAATGCTAATTTCCTGAGTTCTACGTTTGGCCTTCAACCAATCGTGGAAGCAAACAAGCGTCTCAAGAGAGTTTGCGCTCAATCTCGTTCTATAATCCGTTAGGACGTTGCCGACCGCACTAAACTCTTGTTCCACAGCAACTGTTGATACGGGCATTGCTAGCACTTGTTTAGCCATCTTTGATAAGATCGGGAACGTTCTCTCTTTTTCCTTCCACCACTGAAGAACGTCAAAGTCATCCCCTTCTTCATACTCAACAGGAAATGTTAGATACAAAGAAAGCTCGTTGATCGAGCTTTGTTCATTAACCGGAGTTGATTTACTTTTTTTCATAAGATTGCCAAATGCAGATTTCAAAATTGTTTTTTCCTTTAGATGAAGAAGATGTTCGTGGGTGCGTTACCATATTGTGCATGAAACTCATTAAATAATTGATATAATAAATTACCAACCTCTTGAAATTGTTGTTTCGGGTCTATAGCCTTGTCGTCGTACATAGGCAATGGACCAAAAAAAGAAGCATAATAGTAATCTAAACATTGCTCCAAAGCAGCAAGTCTAAAACGAGGATCAAGAATAAATGCAATACTATATATATGCGGAATATAGGAATAATATTTTAAAAACTTTTGTTTCATGAAGTCACAAAAATAACTAACGTAAGCGGCATCAGCAAATTCACAAAAAGCGTCGGCGAGATTAACAGCTTCAACAAAATATATATTGGTTTGCGGTAGGTTTATAAACATGACTAAAAGTTTGAGTTGCATTATTAAAATACACCAAAACATTCAAAACTTTTTCACAAGTGTCGATGTCGGCCGGGTTTATAATATAGTTAGCATATTCTTTTAAAAAAGCAGGAAAATGGTTTTTAAATCTAATAAGCACCTTAATTAAGTTATAAGTACCATT